AAATACATGGGAATAAACTACTTATCAAGTTTATATCATCATTGTTTATAATGGTAGGGGTAAATAAACTAATGGTCAGCAATAATAAAATGATAAAATGAAATATGACCTCTCCAACTTGACTATCATAAAACTATTAAGAATTACTAAAGCAGGGACCTCCCTGGTGGTGCAAGGGGTTAAGACACAACCTATGAGGCTGTCCACAGCCACTGCAGAACAAGTTCGATACCGGACTAGGGAGCTACCCACATGGCACAGCAGACCTATCCTGACTCAGCTGCTGCTCCCCTCAGCAGTGCATTTCAGTCAATCTGCCTGTTCTGTCCCCACTCTGTCTCTGGTGAATCCTCTCACTGCCCCCACAACTCTGGCTTGTACCCCAGTACTTGTATGCATAAATAAATACATCTTTTAAAAAAAAGAATTATTAAAGTGCATTTGACACTGCTTTATGATCATAATATATGAAAATCAAGATGCAGAATGTGTGCACAGCTTAATAATATATATATTAAAATTCTATCTAAACAAAGTATTTTTTCACTGGGAGGTAGAATTATTATACTAATATACTTATTATTCATTTTTATAATTTCTAAATCCTCTAATGAATTTCTTTGTGGTGAATGAGCAAATTTTCTCACCACTACTTAAATGTGCAAAAATCAAGCAAAACTAATTTTATTTTCATTCATTTGTTTGTACATTCATTTATCTGTTTGCTTATTTCCTTACCTTTACATCTGTTTCCTCACAATTCCCTTTCTCTTTATCTTCTTTTTTAAGTGATTTCCCTCATTTGATAATAATTTCCTTCAAGTGAACATTCAACATTTCAGACTGAGCCTCCCATCGTTCTCTTTCCCAAAACAGACTATTGATGTACAGAGTCTTGCGCCCTCAGGATGATGGAAAAAGACCCTCATATCTTCAATTTACTGTGGTGTTTTTTCTTGCTCTCTTTTTTTTTAAGATTTATTTATTTATGCATACACGAACTGAGGTACAGGCCAGAGGTGCGGGAGGTGAGAGGATTCACCAGAGACAGAGTAGGAAACAGAACTGGGCAGACTGACTAAAATAGACTGCTAAGGGGAGCAGCTGATGAGACAGGAAAGGTCTGCTGTGCCATGTGGGTCAGCTCCCTGACTGGGGATTGAACTTGTGCTGCAGGGGCTGTGGATAGATTCATAGTGCTGAGACTTAACTTCTTGCACCACCAGGGAGGCCCCCAAGTTCTTGCTTTCTTAAAGTAATGTCTGTGTGAGTCTCTTTGTCCATGACAATCTATGGAGGATGGTGGCCCCTGCCTGTGCATCTCAGCTCACCCTGAAAGCATCCATTACTGGCATCTGCCTTTGGGAAACAGGCGGTCTGTTTTCTCTCAATTGGTTAGAGCCCTGCTCCTAATTTCTGCTCTTAAAAATGTTAAATAACCTTGAAGTCTGCTTAAATTTGTCATTTGGCACTTCCTTACTACATGGATACATGCCCTACTCCTAAGCGAACCAGCATCCTCAGCTACTTTCCATATCTCTTCACAGAGAAAATGGTATTTTCCGGATGAATTCTATGCTGTGTGGAAGCCAAACAAGTCTCCAAGGAGATCAATTTAGATCATGGTACTTATTTTACTATTATTATGTTAGTGTGGAAGCCACCTGAAGAGGTGATCTAATCCCAAAGTCCTAAATGAGCAAATAGAATTTAGAAAAGTATAATAGATACTAGAATAAAAGAATATAAAATGCATGGCATTTCATAAATATAATAATCATTGTACCTTAATGGGGGGGGGACACTGTTACTTCCATTCATGCTTAAACTGCACTATGAATTAATCTTATATCCTTCACCTAACAATATCTTTGTTTCACCAGTTACATTCACTGTGTTTATTGTCCAGGCACAAAACTTTATGAAAAACACTGATCTTTCAGTGATCTTGATTTCCCTGGGACTTCACAGTCTTTAGCTCTGAAAGTCCCACTTCCCAAGAACCTCTTCGGTCTCAGGCAGCCTGGGATGGCTGGTCACATCATGCATTTGAATATTCACTCAGTAAATTAGTAGATTACTACTTACAAACTGTTTGTCTAGACTATTGGTAACACATCCCTATTAGTTCCTTCTCTAAGTTTTCAGGAGCATGTATCCCTCTCTCCCTTCCACCTGCAGTAAAAGAGACTAGAGACTCTTGACCCTTGATGTGAAAGATTTAAGACAGCATTATAAAACATCATTTGGGGACAACTCATGTCTTCAGTGCTTGAAGATTATATCTAAAACTCAGAGATAAATAGATTTGACTGCCATTTATAAAGCTTTATTTTCAATTTTCTTTTCCAATTTTATTGAGGCACAAATGACAAAAATATAATATATTTAAAGTGTACAATGTGACTTGATGTATGTGTGACTAAGCTGAATATTTTTTACTAAGCTAAATATTTTAATACAATATTAAGGACATTTATTATTATTATTAATAAAATATTCTTTTCAAAAGGAAAAGTAGAGAATTGATTGTTTAGTTGCACATGTTGGCAATGTGATATAATAAATATCAGCTTAAGTTTAAACATTTCCTGTTCTAATTCTGTTTTTTTCCTCTGTGATATTTGAAAATTCACAGTCTCTTAAAACATAATTTGTCACACCAATAAAATAGTCTTAATAACTTATTGTGAAGAATTGCTGGGAAAATTAGAAATAATGTATGTCAATTGCCTAACTCAGTGCCTGGCAGTTACTATGGGTTCAGTAAAAGTGGGGACATTCTTTGTAATGTTGGGTTCTTGTTAAGGTTTTGGTGATTCTCATTGTTGTGCCAGCAAGCACAGGGAAGGTTCACTGTTGATTCAGATGGAAGACAAAGGAGGGTCTCAGAGGCCTCAGTGGATTTTTCAGGCTTTAATGCTCTCTCAGGGAACCAAGCACACCAGGCAAGGATGGCTGGCATGCAGGCTGGTCAGGGGATGCTGGGAGGCAGGCAGGCAACTGAACCTCCTAGCCCCCCACGAATCTTCACACTCTTTCTCTGCGCTCTCTCTGGCATTCTCTCCTTCTGTCTTGTGTCATTTGGTGGTCTCGCCCTCTCTGTAGTCACATCGCTTGTCCTTTCACTGCTGCTGCTGCTGCTGCTGGTTTTATCCCCACTGCAAAGCTTTAGTATGCAAACTTGCACATAAGCATGCACATACTCCACATGTCCACAATCAGGCAAGTGTGCCCCACACCCTCACGCCTTCTACATTAACACGATCAAGGCCACAGGTGATAGTCATAGAGACTAGTGGCGTAAAAAGCCTGATTAACTCATCCTACACTCGTCTTCCAATCTCTACTCAAGGTAATGTCTCTTATTTTCAATGTGTTTTAGAAGGAAACTCAGTATCTGTTCAAGTGCTGGGTATTTTGTAAACATTTAGTAAATGTGGTATTTAAGATATAGGCTAGAATAATAACTTCCTTTTCAGAACTTTTAACTATTTCTATTATGCAAATGTTATGAGAAATTAGTATGGGCAAGCTTTTCAAAAAGAAGCGTGCACTCTTCAAAGATCATTAGTAATTCACCACAGTGGTGAGTGTGATTCAACTTGCTAGGTGGAAATTTTCTTTATTCCCAAAGTCTTGGTACAAAATAAAACAGAGTAAGTACATAATTAGTAGCACATCAAGAAAGTTCTTATTTGACTGAGTTTTGACTGAAGAATTTACCGAGACCATGAGCAGGCAAAATGGTATAAATGCCAGACAGTCTTGAGACACAGGAGGCTTCTCACCTGGTAAACAGGTAAGGTGAAAATGAGGGAGGAAGTATTTGGCACTTGTGTTCACTTCCTTGTGTCTTTTCTTTTAAAGATTTATTTATTTATGCACACAAGAACTGGGGTACAGGTCAGAGGTGCGAGGATTCACCAGAGACAGAGTGGGGAACAGAACAGGCAGACTGATTGAAATACACTACTGAGGGGAGCAGTGGGCAAATCAGGAGAGGTCTTCTGTGCCATGTGGGTAGCTCCCTGGCTGGGGATCGAACTCGTGCTGCAGTGACTGCTGACAGCTTCATAGGTGTGTCTTAACCCCTTGCACCACCAGGGAGGCACTCCTTGTGTCTTTGATCTTGGTTATATCCTCTGCCTCCTTATTGGTTGGTTTTGTATCGAAATAGACTATGCCAGTTTCTCTACTCTGAAAATCTGGAGTAAATTTAAAGGAGTAAAAACTTAACCTGTTAAGAAAAAACCTACTGAAGTGTCAGTAGTTTTTAACCAAAAAATACCAAGGAAATAAATAACAAGTTGGTATCACCCTTTAGGCATCTGATAGTACTAAAACATCTTAACTGCAAGGTTCATCATAATATTTTCAGAAAAATGTAAGGAATTCTGAGAAAGGCATTTCTCCAACCATCTTACTACTCTAAAAGAAACAATATTCAAACTAAAAAGAATGATTCTTGAAATCTGAGCTTGGGACTTTATGATATTACATAATTTAGGTGAGCAACATGGTTGACTCAGCCTGGGAAAGCTTTTAGAATTCTCGTTTCAGAATCCTCTCAGAAGTCCCTTCCCCCTCAAGGCCTAGCGTCTGTGTGTTCATATTGGGGCACTTGGCAGCAGAGGATGATCTAGAAAGCAATCAAGGAAAGTGGCTATTAAAAGCTCACAGGCTTACTGGAGAGAGAAAAATGACTTTTGCTAAAAGCTAAATCTCTAAATAACCCTGAAGCTATTTCCCTCTTGACCTAAAATGTGTGGCCCTGTGTATGCATATTCACACTTTTTCTCTGATTCTTTTTTTTTTTTGGGGGGGGGGGGAAGGGAGGTAATAATCTCTACACACATTTAAATTTAACACTTGATGAGCACTTAAATTGTTGAGTTAAACAAGAAGTCACTTGAGCAATTTTGGCTTTGTGCCATTCTTTGGGATTTCATCAGAAGGAGAATAACTTGCAGGACAGAAGCCAACTCCTAATTGTTTTATTTAATTAGAACATTTAGATAGCTAAGCCAGTCTGGAGACTGATTTTCTGCTTCCCCTCACCTGAATAGGAACGCTTTCATCAGAACCTATGTCTCCAGGTTCTTTGTAATTTGGACATGGAATTGACAGAAGGATTTATTAGAGACTTCGCACCTATTAGCATTTCAGCATTTTTAGTAGCATTTCTCATTTTCCCTTTTGCTCTGCTACATGACATGTGAAAACTGATCGTCTTTTCCTTTCTGCAGCCACGCTGGTTGTAAGTCACTATGAATCTATAAAAGCTTGTCACCTTTCAGTGGTGGTGCATTTGTAGATATTTTCTGAAGGCTAAGGAAAAGGGCATTATTGATGAGTACTCTTCTCTGCTACCTGCAAAGCAAGAAAGTATTCAACTGTCAATTTATCTTAAACTTCAAATGACAATAGAAAACAGCATTTTTGTGAGACATTGAAATTTTAACTAGAATTGCTCTAGTAAACTGAAGCCTCTGGAAGTCATTGGGAAATAAGTGCCCTGCATGTTCAGGACAGCAATGTTCTTGTTCTCATGTCAGGGGGTACATTACAGAGAAGAAGTGAGCTCATGGCTTCTCTGAACACCAATAAGAGATGCAGATGAACAGTTGGAATATTTGCAACTTGGTTTAGCCAAATGTGATGAGTTCTTTTTATCACCATTTAAAAATAGCTCCTCAATATTCAACCAAATGTATCCTAATTGCATTTAAATATTGTAAAGGGAGTGATGAGTGAATGAGGCCAAATCTTTAGGCAGATTGCTAATGGGATTAAGGAGTCCAAGATCCCTGATAAATTCTACTAGCTTCTCTGTGGAAATACAGCTTTGGATCATTGCCAGGAAAGGTTGGACAGGGAGGGAGGGAGTTTTCCTCTATAAGTCTGTTCTAGCATCTTATAGAAATTGAGGTTTTACCTTCTTGTATGAGTAAATATCCTGACTGGACTAGAGCAGGAATCTGGACTCTGAATTTTATCTTTATAAATTGTCAGATGCAAATATACCTCTAAGCCATTTGATTCAATTCCTTCATCTTTAAATTACAAGATCTGCCCAACAGCATAGAGCAGAACAAGGTAGTAGCAGGGTGAACTGGTGCAAGATTTCACCCACTGATCTAGTGTCATACTTGTTTCTTTGACCCTTTCCCCCATCCTTTGTAACCCTAACACCAATTACTGGTTACTTCTTTGATTTTGCACAAGCCAGGAGTGAATGTGGTGAAGGTCGATTAGAGTGTGAATCTTTATCCATTTTTTCATGTGCTTGGGCACTACAAGTTGTAACTCCCACATGAAAGCAGCCTGCACAGTAGCAAACTTGCCATTGCTCTACTATCCAATACAGAGAGCTGACATTTCTTAGCTCATAAACTATGTTCCTTTCTTATAAACTTGGATAACTTACTAGTCTGGAGATGGTGCAGAAGTGATTTCCCTAGAGGCCAGGCAGTAGAAAGAAAAGTAACTCCTCCTTCATCAGAAAAAGATGGCTTTTAGGGCCTCCCTGGTGGCGCAGCATTTGAGCACTGGGCTGCAAAGCTTCCCGCAGCCTCTGCAATGCCGGTTCGATCCCTGGCTGCCAGGTGAGGGTCCCACATGGCGCACAGACCTCTCCTGCTGCCCGCTGCTCCCCTCAGCAGTGTGTTTCATAAGTCTGCCTGTTCTGTTCCCCACTCTGGCTCTGGTGAATTCTCTCACCCTCCTGTGCTTCTGACTATACCCAGTGCTTGTACAAATAAATAAATAAATCTTAAAAAAAAAAAAAAAAAAAGATGGCTTTTAGTCATCTGCAAAGAGGGGAAAATGGGACAGTGGTTATGGTCAATCATCTTCCCAGTACCTCCCCTCTGCCAAAGGACAGCACAACAGGGGTGGGGGTGGGGGGGTCAGTACAAAATGCCATGTCCAAAGAGACAAAGCAGAGTGGTAATCATTTGTCTTTTGTTGTACTAAACTTTAAAAAAAAATTGCTGTATTTTAAATTTCTCACTGCAGCCTAGGATATGGACATTATCAGATTCACTATTTTGTAATTAAAAAAATGAGTCTCAAAAAAATTCTCTTTTTAAGGTTTCTTAACATTAAGAGACCTTATGAGAATTCTATAAGGCCTGCCCTGTAGCATTGTATGTTTTATGAGGTACAAAATAATTTATGTAAGCTCTGCTTTGGTGCTTCCACTACAATTAAAATAAAAGAGAAAATTTGGTGTTGACCGTGGCTATTTGACATCATGTTCTATGTTTGCAATCATTGTACTCTGCATTGAGAAATTACTGGTCCAGTCCTCCAATTTCACAATGACTGGCAAGCAATTACAGGAAGACATTGTAGTGAGAAAGAACTAGCAACCTTGGGTAGGTGACCTGCCTTCCACTCCTGGATTGTCCCACATTGGGTGGTGATCTTGGGCAAGCCATCTGTTCTCCGTGGCCTCTCATTTTCATCTGTAAAACAAAGGCGTTGAATTGTTTCATTTCTAAAATTTCTCCTAGTTCTAATTTTCTGGAGGTAGTAACCAGAAGACAGATCAGAAGACTCCAAGTTCAATGTTAATGTCACAATATAAGATTATCCACACAGACAATTTACAAAACATCAACCCAACCCTAGACTGTATTATGAAAAGATTTTGAAGAACACTTATTTAAATCTGACATTATCGTTATATGATGCCTATTGAATAAAAATTTACTAACAAATGTGATAATCACCTATAATTCTCCACATTTCAAATCTATTATATTTAATCTATATATTTAATAATATATTATATATCATAAAATATATAGTATATTTATTTTATATAGTATATTTAATAACATAGTTTGGTTTATTTATATATATTTAATAATATATTATATATTTAATAATATATTATATATTTAATAATATATTTTTATATATTGTATAATATATATATAACATATATATTGCTTCCAACAAAATTATAATTATAATTTTAATTATAATTAAAATGATAATTTTGCTATTATGAGTAATTTATTCTAAGAGGTAAATTTTGTACACACATACTATCTTTACTGTGATAAAATAACATGAAAGAAAAGCTACAGTCAGGCCTCCCTAGTGGCCCAAGGGGTTAAGCACAGTACTATGATGCAAATCTGCAGCCTCTGCAGCACAAGTTCGATCCTCAGCCGGCCAGGGAGCAACCCACATGGTGCAGACCTCTTCTGACTTGCCCTCTGCTCCCCTCAGCAGTGTATTTCAGTCAGTCTGCCTGTTCTCTTCCCCAGTCTGTCTCTGGTGAACCCTCTCACCCCCTGGAGGTCTGACCGTACCCCAGCTCTTATATGCATAAATAAATAAATCTTTAAAAAAAAGCTACAGTCAAGATGATATACTTCAAAAAAGATTTTAGATACCTATTGCCAGTATTTTACCTTAAAATTTTCTTTTATTATCTATAAGAAGGTTTAATAATTTGTTTTTATCAATAGTTGAGAAAAGTATCTATTTTCTGAAATTCTCAACATTATTTATTATTTTAACAATTATTCTCAGTTTGTTTTCAAAGCAGTTAAGCATGATGGTTAGAGCCCAGACAGACTACGTGAGTAGAACTGGGTCACTTTATGACCTTTGGGAACTAACTTAACTTCTCTGTGTATATCAAGCTTATAGTAAGACCTACCCTGCAGTGTTGTGTGTTTTATAAGAATTAGAAAATAATTAGAATAATGCTTGCAAATAAAGATATTTTAAATGATAACTATGATCATTATTCTTTAATTACAAATTTGAATCAAACACTTCAATAAGCTGTTGACCATTTGTTTTTTTGTTGCTCAACTATTAATGCCAATGTTTTGCACAATTCTTGGTCAAGGATTCTTGCTTTGTTACTTTATGAGAAGTTTTTGTGTATTAGGAATATTACTCCTTTGCCTCTCACAAATAATCACCACTTTCAAATAGAGTTAAATGCCTTACTTTCTAAAGCCTTAAAACATCTCTATATTTCATTCATTCATTCTAAGAAAACTTTTTTATTTCATTTTCTACTTTATATTTTTCTGTAACTCTTTTTTTTTTAAATTTATTTATTCATGCATACAAGAAGAACCGGGGTACAGGCCAGATGTGTGTGGGGTGAGAGGATTCACCAGAGACAGAGTGGGGAACAGAACAGGCAGATAGACTGAAGTACACTGCTGAGGGGAGCAGTGGGCAAGACAGGAGAGGTCTGCTGGGCCATGTGGATATCTCCTGGCTGGCCCGGATTGAACCCGCACTACAGAGGCTGTGGACAGCTCCACAGCTCTGTGCCCAACCGCCTGCGCCACCAGGAAGGCCCTTTTTGTTGAGGTAATGTTGGTTTACAACACTTTATATTATTCAGAGAAATAGGTTCATACCTCTTCAGGTGTATGTTACCACATGACACCCACACTAAAGTGCCCGCAGTCCTCCACCACAGTCCCTCAGGTCTTATACTGGGCCCTCCCCTTTGTCTAACAAAGTTTTTTTTTTTTTCTTACTAATTTTTATTCTTGGTAAGTTGTTCACTTCACTCCTTTCTTTTTGTCATGTCCAACCAAAACCTGATACATGCTGGCAACATCTTTTATACAAAGTTTGAAAAGTCATTTATCTAACTCTATAGTCAGCAACACTACAGTAAAGGTGTTTTATTTTAATTTTTATTTTATAAGCATCTTGGAAGAGCACCTGACTTTTAATCTCTTCTACAGCTTTCCCGCTTGCCATTTCACCATACTGAGCCACACTTCGCTCTTCTGTACATGCAAATATTTGGACTTGGCAGATAATCTCTAAGGCCATTTGAATCCTAGCATTTTATACTTCCATGAGGCTTCAGATTAGAGAACTCATGCATTTGAAAGAGTAGGAAGAGTACCCAAAAAACGAATTAACACCAAATTTACTAGGTTTAATGATGTGCCATATATTTGTTCCTTATTCAGTGAAGGAAAAATAAATAATTATAAAACATCATCAAAATAGACTTCATCCAATAGGATTATATTTATAATTTATGATTTAACAACTCTTCTATTAGTGAAATTAAAACATTCTTCAGTCATCTGTTATATAATTTTTCATGTATAGCAAAAGCTGCAAAGGAATTCTGAATTGAAGGAACAGATAAGAAATCAAGAGAGTATAGGTTATGGCTAAGCAAATGATGACTCTGTTGTGTCAATTTGAAGTCAGAGTCATTCCGATTTGACTAATTTCTGTATGAAAATGAAAGTAATCAGCCTCTGTGCATGAAACCATTAGCTACTGCTTCAAAGTGCTGCATTTCAGAAAGGTCACAGAGGGCTGGCCAGCAGCAACAGGAATTTTCCAAGTGATGTGTGTCACATTTGCATATGAAAATTAGTTTCACTATAAATACAATTTGTTCTGCAGATTAACATTTTGTGTCCTCATTAAATAGCAAACATTTCCATATTAAACCCACAAAGCTGCCAGAGTTGACTCTGCTTGCATTGCCTGATAGCATTAATACCTCTGTTTATACTGATGCCAATTAGTAGCACGAAGTGTTGGAAGAATAAAGGAGATCACTAATGCTATTAATACAGATAGTAATAATAATGCTGAGAAGCATTCACAAACCTTGTTAACTTCAAAGATCATTAGTAGTAAAGTACCTCTGGGTTGTAAATGTCAGTTCTCGGGCACATAAAGTATCAGCATGTCTAGAATGCTTTGCTCTCCATACTGGATTCTGCTTCTGGCTTATAACATGAGATCTGTGTGCTGTGAAGAGGAGCAGGCAATTAAACCATTGTTTTCTTTTGCTAAATGCACTCAGTCCAAGAAGGAAGTAAGATGGGCTCTATTCAGGAGAAATAACAATTGGCTCACCTTGTTCTGCTCAGTGCAGCTAAGTTTGCTTTCATTCTTAAGGCCAGCTTTTCAAAGGTAATGGGGTGAGGTATTTTATGGTTCACTAAAAGGTCTTTTATAAAGCAGAATGCCCCAGAATGACACATGAGAGGATTGGGTTCACTTGCACCAGAGCTGAAAGCTCTCTGTTGAGGGTATATTGAGGGGCATAGAAGACAGTGATGAACACATGAGGTCTGGGACAATATACATCACCTCTCTCGTTACTTTTGACCTGGTAGTGATAGGAAGATGCTACTTCAGACAGACGACCCCTTGGGATGTGCTAGTTCTGCAAGAGCTGGCTTCACTCAGCAGGACTAATTGTAACCTACCTCTTGCTCAACAACAGGTGATGGATAATGCTGTAGACACTATTGATAACTACAGTTCCTGAAGAAACCGACTCACTTTACTTCCATGCACATATGCATAAACTTTCGTTTGATGTTTTATATACACTCAGTTTTGGCAACTTTTTTAAAAAAGCATTGACTAAGGCACCAAACATATTCAACTGAAATGTAAATGCTTTATTTTTTAAAATATTTTATTTATATATGCATACAAGAACTGGGATACAGGCCAGAGGTGCGGGGAGTGAGAGGATTCACCCGTGACACAGTGGAGAACAGAACAGGCAGACTGACTGAAATACACTGCTGAGGGGAGCAGCAGGTGAGACAGGAGAGGTCTGCTGCACAATGTGGGTAGCTCCCTGGACAGCTGAGGATGGAACTCATGCTGCAGAGGCTTTGGATAGCTTCACATTGCTGTACTTAACCCCTTGCTCCACCAGGGAGGCCCATAAATGCTTTATTATTGAAGTTTGAATTATGACATCAGGAAATTACATTAAGATGCAAAATAGTATCATCACTTCTGAACTCAGGTATAAAAGTTAGATACAAATATTCGTTTTTTTCTGCCATTACTAGTTGTGGATTTTGGATAAAATAGTTTCTCTGTCTTGATTTTCTTATCTGTAAAAGAGAATGTGATTTTGGATTAGTATGAGGTCTAAATGAGTTGTTAATTCAGTGCCTGGTTCATAAGGTGAACTCAATGGAGATAGAAGCTTTTGTTATCATTTTTGTTTATGCAACAATTTTCCTGAATGTGTTTCGAAACCAAATGGGGGAAAATAAGTGTTTCTCTTAGCCTATTTATAAGAATGCCAGTCCTCCTCAAATCTGACCCAGAGATGTCTCACGTTTGTCAGATGCAGAACTCTTTTCTCTCAACTATCTCTCAACTACCTCATTCCCCTTCCTACTCTAACATTTTCTTAAACACCACCCGCCATTCTGATGATATTTTCTTCATCACTTCTCCATCTTCGCTCCTTCTTTGCTATAGAGCTAATATTGTCTTTTCTGCTCTAATATGATATTGTATTCTTCCCCCACTTTTTCATCTCATGTGGTATACATTACTCAAGCTTCAAAATAGCATTAACTTGTGTTTTCAGTGTTGATCAAAGATTTCTGGGCTCTTGGTCTTTGGGTCTCACTATTCCCTGTCCTCCACTGGTGCAAGTTTAAGAGAAATCTGGATCTGTAGAATTAGCTGAGCTCAGGTCCTTGATTTCTCCTGCTTCTTGAAAGATGACTTGTAGTTGGTTAGCTAGCTACTTACTGGTTTCCTTAAGAGTTTCTTAAGGAACTCTTTAGTTCTTAACATAAGTAGACACCTCGGCTGGTTCCTTCCCGTTATTCACATTTGAATCATCACAGTGAATATATGCAAGGCTCCCGAGCTGGAATTTCTGCACTATGTTTTTAGGTGTAGAAAGGCACCAAAGAGATTTAATATGCAGTAGAAAAAGTTGAGGAAGAACATATGAAAATCTCAAAATACCCTAAAGATCGCTCAGTGGAAAGAAAAATTAGTTTGCTTCTGACTACCAAGAGAATGGTTAGAGTCCATAGGAAAAACAGAATAGTTAATATTAAGTAAAAAATTTCTAATAGTTATACTGCACAGGGACAACTGCCCTGAGAGAAAGTGAGCTCTCTGTTTCTAGATGTATTCAAGCAAAGGCTGAATGATAACTGGCAAGATGCCCAATGAAGGGAATTCATGCATCAGTTGAACTAAATGGCTTTAAGCAATAGTGACTCTAAATTTCTCTGGACTAGGATCTTTGGCCACCAATCCAATTTGAAAGGTACATTGGAGGGTATGGGAAGCTTTAATAATTGGCTTAAAGCTATGTTTTGTATAATGTTTAAGAAAGTCAAGAAGTATCAATTATCCTTATGAAAGAGTGAAATGATAGGTTGGTTATTTTTTAGAACATTTGCTGAGTACCTACTTCATGGCAGACTCTATAGTGTTGGGGCAGAGTAATGAGAAAGACAAAGTTCAGCTTGAGCTGGCATTTTCCTGGAGCTAGGGAGGAACCTGTGAATATATGTTGACACTTCCTCTAGGGTCTCCCCACCTCCATGAGTTTCTCTGAGACATATTCTCTATTACTACCATAATCAGTTTAAAGGAGATAGATAATAGATAAATCTCTGATTCTAAGTGATGTGACAATTGTATTTCACTTACTATTTCTCTTCCTAGACTTAACATGAGATGAGCAAGAACTGTCTCATTCATGTAGTAGATGTTGAATGAGTGAATGAATGAATGACCAAAGAATGTAGAGTATGCTACCAAGGCATCATATAAATCTTTCTCTGAATTACTTAAGCAAAAAAGGACCTAAAATCATCTTTCTGGGTCAGATGTGGCAGACAAGTGAGCCAGGTATCCTGTAAGTCCCTGTGAATATCCTTGGCTTTTCAAGGACCAAAACTTGCATTTCTTTTGGAGTATCTCATGGCAGCAGATCATCTGAGCCCCCAGTGAATGAATCACAGAATGGATTCTTGGAAGGAAAACAGGACTGTTTAAAAAGAAAAAAAAAAAAACAACTCTTCTTTATGCAGTGAAGGATGTAAGGAAACTGGAGGAAGTTCAAAGAAGAATAACAAGAATGATTAAGGGACTGAGAGCATGATTTATGTTGAATGATTAAAAGGATTAAACATGCAGAACTTGGCCAATGCTACATTCTTAGCTATAAAAAATCAAAATTAAGTGCCAGAACTCTTAGCTCCCATGAAAAATACAAATTTGCATATAATTTGGCACATATTTCTACTCGAAGTTCAGTAGAGCCTCACTGAGGCAGCATTCACACAATGCCAAAACCACCAGCCTGTTTGGTCAGTTTAAAGAAGACCCTGGTCATGTCAATAAAAACACTCTATTTGACATAATTGAATCATGATATAACCATCCCATGTCACCATGCACCTGTGATATACCCATAAATTATGTAAAAGAATGTAACAGATAATAATATTTTACCTGAAGGTCACATACTAAAATACAGAGCGCAAAGTGGGAGCCACATGAGGGAGGGGGTGTGAACTTGGAGGACACAACATGGCCCACTGAAAAGGAGCAGCTATGCTGGGTTCCAGCTAATTGTTGCTGTGAACTAGTTTTTGTCAAGGGTTGTCAGATCTTCTTGTCTGTCAAAGGAAATCAGTGACTGGAGGGTGTCAGCAACAAGGAGTAGAAAGCCAGCTCAAAGAGGAGTCACTTATCTCTGAGTGGAAAGCAGGAGCTGTAGGCTGAGAAAATGGAGGAAATGTAGGAAAGGATGTGAAGAGTCAGCAAATAGACATTCCCTAAAGCTTAGACATCCATATCGTTGTATTAAAATTATCTTGAATTGACACTTAAAAAAAAGTAAACACTCCTGTCAAAGTCATTCCATGATTACAAGTGTGCCACCTCTTATATGGCGAACTTCTTTCTGCTAGAGTTAGAAAAATTGAAGTCCATAAAAAGTGAAGGACATTCTCATAGGCATGGTGAGTGGATCTTCAGAACAAACACTGAGTATGAGTAATAGCTCTTGAGAGGAAGTCTGGGTTCTTATCTGATTTTGTTGTCTGAGTTAATTATCTCTAGGCCCATAACATCTACCTTTTCTAGCTCTATCTGGAAAACATGGGTTTATGATTTTTCACATGGCTCTCAGTCCTATACTCTATTAGTATTCATAAGGAAAATATGCCTAAAATAATTTATAACCATAACACATACAGGTACATATATGAACCAACATATATTCACATCAAGTTTAATTTGAAGGGGACATTGAAGAAAATGAAAGAAGGGTATTTTTTTATAGGATTGTGAACATTTGTTGAGGTTACGCAGTGCACAGTCTAGGGGTGACCATGTGAATTGGCCAGTACACATGTGACTTGAAAGGGGACATCAGCTTCACACTGCAAGTGCTCAAAACAGGAGAGGAGCTCTGTTGTTGGAATTCTGAAATGTTATGTCTCAAACTGTTAAAACTCCATTGTTCAAATTGCCAAGATTTCTTGTATGTGCTCCCTGCCCCACCTGCAGTATGAAAATAGAGAATCAGAGAAAAGGAGATAAGTTCTAATAAAGAAAAAAATGAAGAGGTAGTTACAGCTTTGAAAGAGTGAAGTGCTAATTTTAACAGATGTCTACAACTTTGAGTAAAAGAGAACCACTGTCATCTTCAGAAAATGAACATATTGAATTAAGTACCCTGAAAAATTATGATGAGAATTATAAGATGCGGGAAAGATATAGTAAAGGAAATGTGGAAACTCCTTCCCTAGAGTAATTTGAAAGTCAACAGGATAAGGGAAGTAGAAAATCTATTCTAGGGAACATTTTCTATTGATTCCCTGGGGCCTAAGGGATGATATAATGGGTCTCCTCCATCTCTAATTGCTATCATTCTTAGACTTTATGTATTTTCCAGGATTTTATAATGTTGCTGTTAGGCCCACATTGAGGCCCCTCCAATAAGGGGAAAA